ATAGTCTTAATTGAGAAGCTATTTATCCCACTTATGGCATTTATAATAAAAAATATATAGATATAGATAGTTTTGTTTCAAATTATATTTTTCCACCTAATAATCCTTAATCAAACATTTTTTGATAGTTGGATAATTATTTTCTCTTATCCAATTTTACTGAAACTCAGTTTGATATAAATACATAATATACATGATTGAATTTTTTGTTCTTTATGTGTAAGAATGTACATGTTAGTTTATATTTACTTAGTACATTATCTGAGAAAATGGCTTTAAAATGTTATGCATACAATTTTAATGCTTAAGTTTTCAGTCCACTTGGACCGACCACTCTGTCTTTTTAAAATTTAATATGATAAAATAGGTAGTAAGTCTCCACACTAGATTTCTCAGCCTGTGCCAGCTTTTTAAACCAAACTGGCTTTTGCCTCCAAGAAGGGACTGAAGCGGGGACTAGTTGTGTCAGTGTAACATTCCTAGGTGGTTAGAAGATTTTGTATCATGCTTTTATTGAATTAGTTTACCTTCTACCCTTTGATTCATTGTAGGTTGTAAGCCATCAATATCTTCTTTTCTTGCAGAACATGCATTTTCTGGTTTATTCTAAATTCTAGGAAGACTTCCCATTTAGTTATAAGTACATTTTATGAAGGAAAACTGGAGTGGGAAGGACCAGAATAAAGCAGGAAGTTTTATAGAATACTAGGTGAACAATTAGTAGCCCATTCTATGTTAACTATTGATATCTATTTTTTAAGATATCTTTAATACTTAAAAAGGATGTCTAGAACTTAAACACATGTTTCGACCCACTTTGTAGGTCTTTATAAGGGCACTGCAGGATTTATTGTTTGAATTATTTCTATATAATACTTAAGAAAATTTATTTGTTTTAACATCAGTAGTGTTACTGCTATTTAACAAAAAACTATATTTAGGATCTTATGAATAGTGTCTTTGAGGAATAAATAGGCCCTTATATTTTAAAATTTTTTTATTTTACTTCTAAGGACATTTCGAGCTGATTGGCTTGAAATATACTACTGCAGTAGCTCAATATATTTAAGATGATTTTTAATCTTCATTTATGAGCATGTTTGAAACCTTTAGTGGATGGTCATGGTGTTATTTTTTGTCTTTCAGTGAGAAGTCTCCTTGGTGTTAAAGGTTTTATGACATATTTAGAAAATTGATTAATTTATTTGAGCTTTATATATAAAACTTTAAATAAAAATATCAGTTTCGTAGGACTTTTCGTTTTTGAGCTAGACTGCTAACACACAGACACACAGACCATTTTTCGGGACTTGGTCATTTCGACTCAGGGAACCTCAAAACGTCTATTTCCGTTTAAAACTCAGATTCAAAAATTTTCTCGATCGCAATACTTACCCTTACTATATATTACATATATACGTAAGTGAAAGTAAAAGTATTTAAAAATCGTGATATCTCTACTAATAGTGCTTCGATTTCGATGAAACTTCTTTTGTTTTTTAGGCATTTTAAATACCTTTGAAACATCTTATCACAATATCCCCAAAAAAGTGTATACTTTTTGAGTTATTCGGAATTTAATTTTACCATCGCTCGTAACTTTTTTTCCAGCTTCTTTTCGTTGAAGTATGCTATATAGATAAATTTAAAGGGTGTCGAAAAAATGACTTTAGCAAAGTTTCATTGAAATTGGTACATTCGTTTAGGCGCTGCAGTCTATAGCAACACAGGTTTTTCTGCATTTTTATTTTTTTCTCCTTTATTAATTTATCAAATTCTTTCAAAAGTTATATTCAGTACTTTTTCGTAACTCTGAATAATGTGAAATGATTAACTTTTTAAAATAAACCATATTTAAGGTAATTTAGAGGAAGACATATATGAACATTGGGGATAAGACCTAATTGATATTAAAGACCACTTAATTATACAATGACACACCGAGTTTAATCATAATCGTTAGAGTCGTTTTTGAGAAAATTGTGAAAATGTGTTTCAGCATTGATATAAAGTGGCACTTCCTATCAATTTTCTCGATCGCAATACTTACCCTTACTATATATTACATATATACATAAGTGAAAGTAAAAATTAATTGATAAAATGTTTATCAGTTGCCCTCTTGTCTAAGGTGCTCAATTGTTGAAAGTAGTTGAATGCAATGAGTTTTCAGAAAATTAATCTAAAATGTGTGTATGTGGATTATTCAAGAGTAGAAATTTGTTAAAATGGCAAATTTACTGATTTTATAATGATTTCAATACAGTGTTTCCAGAAGGGGGTTGTATAGTACAAGTATGTGATCAAAATTTTTGAGAGGGCAAATTTTTCATAGAATATATTAGACAGAAAATTCAGAAAGATTAGACAAATTTTATATCTTTGCAATTTAAATATATAGGGGATATAGAAAGCAAAGTAGTATGTCCAATTCATGAAAATTTAATCATTTACACAATATTACTTTCTTGATTTTAATAAATTGCTTATAAAGTATAATTTATAAAAAAAACCCATGATGGGTCTTGAATTCAGTACTTTGTATGGAAGTAGTGTTTCTTGGTCACAGGTTGTGTAAGGAGATGAAGACTCAGTTCATGCACAACGTCCAGGTTTTCTCCTTTATTATTTAATTATGGGTACCCACCCAGGCTGGGTTTGCCCCAGTGTAAATCCATAGCTGATGAAACAGAATAAATAATTTATCTACGATCACTGGGACTCTAATCTATGATCTTGAGCATTGGAAGGCAGCACCCTACCACTCAGCTACTCCATCCCCTGTATATTTAATATTCCTAATCATAAGTTGTAAAGAATGTTATGAGTGTAATTTCAAGATTTTAATTTATCATTGAAATATTAACAGTAAAATTAAATTTCTGAATAACCAACAGGTCAAGAGAAGATATATATCTTCTATTTTCTCTAGACTGTGCATTTTTAGATATAATATTTTAATTTCTGATGTACGAAATATATTGAAGTGAAATTATCAGGTTGTGAAAAAATTGGAATCTATGTTTTCAATGGAAATACTAACTTTAAGTTTCTAAAATCTTAAAGGTGTTTCTATGTGTCAAATTTTACTTAATTTTTTTGAAGTCTCTCTATCCAACCTTAGTAACATAATGTGAAACCCAACTTGACATACTTATTCCTTTAATAATACAAATGAAGTAATATTTTACAATAGAAGTATAAAATAAGGTTTCAAAATGGTTGTATTACTTCCCAAAATGTTATATTTTAAAATTATAAAATAAATGAAAACTGGTGGTCAAATGGCCTTATACTTGTGAACATAAGAAATTAGGACTTTATAAATTGAAAATATGTATGGAAGGGTACTTCATATAATTGCAATAATAGAGTGCTACCATTGGGTAGTTTCTCAACAAATGTTTTCAAGTCATTATATTCATATGTTCTAATTTACTAAATGTATTTCTTTAATACAGCTGTAAATATTAAGAAATAATTTAAAAAAATAATATACTTTCAATATATTCAGAAACAACTAGTATCTATTAATATACTAAACTATGAGAAGAGGCAGTGAAAGTATTGTATCAGAATAAATTTATTTTGAACACTTAGTAATTTTTATTTGATACAGTTTTTAAATTCAAAGCTGTATTATTATTTTTTTTTAACAGTCCCATTTTATTTTAGATAAAATATAGAATTCACTACAAGATTCAGAACAAAGCCACTGTAATTACAGAAACAATTCTTACATAGTTGTAGGTAGAGTATGAAGTAGATGGTGGAAAAGGAGTTACTTAAAGGAATTGGTAGACATGGATTGATCTATGCAGAGATACCCATCCCTCTCTCACCTTCACATCACAAGCCATTTTATTGATTTCTCTTAAAAGCAGTGAAAGCGAAAGTAGAATTTATAACTTGGTAGAACATATAGAATTACTGTATTAGCGGCCAATTCCATGTTCCTCTATGTCTCTGGTTTGAAACTTTTCATTTAGAAAATTCATAGCCTTGTCAAAGGAAGTGTGCCCCCCTTAACAATTTTGATGGCACAATTTGCACCATGAAACAAACCCCCTTATGGACACCTCTGGATCTATGGAGATAGGTAAGGAGTTACAAAAGGAGGTAGCAAGGATAAGGAAGGATTTGCTGAAGGAAATGTTTTTATGAGGGGGGATATATAGACCAATAGATCATGATCTAGATTTAAAGAATGAATAGAGGAACATAGAGTAAACCGTCTGAAGATGTAGAAAGATTTTTCGCTTCTGAGGACTTGGAAAAGGAAAATACCAAGGAGGAATTGCTGTGGAAAAGTGGGATAGAGTAGATTAAAAGTAGATACTTTTTAATTCAGTTTATTAGTAGGAAACATGAAAACGCCTGGGATGAATGAAACTTATGAAGCAATCTATAAATCTCTTTAATGTAATTTTCAGCCTTGTGGCAGTACTCCATGTACCAAGCAACCATAAGCGAATTGTGAGAAAACAATGGAGATAACAAGATATGGTTTATTGGGGGGGAGTTTTTTGAAGAACATTTATGGATTTTCAAGTGATATGGGAAATATGGTTATTCCAGGAGAGGTTCTGAACAAATATTACTTATAATATAGTAACAAACTGTTTTATTTAAAGCCAACTTTGCAGATCTTCTTCAGGACTAGAAGGAACAAGATCCAAAAGACTATAAAACAATGTGGTAGTTATATAATGTTTAGATAAAAAATTTAAACAATGTGAATACACTTATTAAAATTATACACAGTGGGAATAGCAAGTACAAAGAAATATTATGAACAATAAACTAGATAAACGGAGTATAACTAAGTAACAGGACACTAAACTAAAGTAAATAAATGGTAATAATCATTGTAGATTATTGGAAATAAGAAAAAACTGAATGTAATAAGGAGGATCGATAGTATATATAATAATGGATATAATCCTATAGAGCTCAAGGAAGGATTGAAAGAAAAAAGAAAATAGTAATAAGTAACAACTAGTTAGCAGGTCCAAATAATTCACAGACATTTTTCTTTTGTGAAGGAATATCAAAACAATATGGAAATAAGGAGATCCTATGTATTATGTTTTGGAGGAATTAATTGTTTTTAATGGATAGATTACAATATTCCATTTAATATAATAGACCAAAATATCTGTAGAAATGGCTTTGCTAGGACCTATTTCTACATGCTGACTGGAAAGGTAACATTCAAAATGAAGTCTCATGAGTTTTCTAAATTATTAAAAAATATAAAATGTACAAACAAAGAATGCCTTTAAGAAATAATAAAGCATATATTATCCAGGAAAAAAAGGGTAGTAGAATATTAAATGCAGTATCTTAAGTATACCAAAACTAATGGACTGTATCTTTGTTAATAATTGTCCTATTTTTTTTGTTTTGTAATCTTTAGTAATCTTAGTATAGTAGTTTAGTAATTTAGTAATCTTTCTAATTATCATGGGTACAATCAAGAAAAGAAATGCATAATTTGTGAGTTATTCACAGATATAGTTTCTTTTCCTTCTCAACTTTTTTCCTTAAATATCTGGCGTATGTGACTATTTTTCCCACATGAAGATGAAGAAGATCTTTAAAATGAGGACTCAATCATTAGATTTGATGAAGAATTGTCGAAGTTAACGCTTTACAACAAAAACATCGTTTAGAAATAATATATAAGATAGAAGAGCTGTGCTGAAATAGTCGCTATGACAACGATTTTACTTTTCTTTGTGATGTTTTTGCCTAATATAATGTTTCTTCAATGGTTGGAAAGCTGAATTATTGCTCTTCAAAACCATATAGATAAGTTTTCGATTTAACCTGTCCAAAAAGAATAAATAAATAAAAACTCCTAACAGGTTTTTATTTTATGACTTCAGCTCTAAATTATTTAGCAGGGGTATAGTTTGTGTCATTTTGTGTGGATAGGTGTAAGGTTATTGAAGTTATCACCCTTTTTGTTATTTTCGAAAAGAAATCGAGGGGTGTGTGCCTCTATTCCAATTCGTATAACATTTTTTTTTATATTTCGAATGCTATGGAATTTCATATTTGAGGGTCTTCCCAGCTGCGAAATACAAATATCAACTCTGTTTCTCCTTAAAGAAATATTTGAATACACTTTACTCCTTCGGCCGGTACAAATTTTTTAAAATTTCTAATTGATTTCTATAATTTTTGTTTTTTTTGTAAGTAATTCGGTAATATTTATAGTTATCATGGGTACAATCAAGAAAAATGTATATTTATTCTTTAAAATAAATTATATTTATTATGTAAAATGTATAGTTATTCTCAAATAATGTTTCTTTTTCTTCATAACTTCTTTTCCTTAAATTTCAAGGAAATTAGGAAGGAAGGTTGGACGCAGTGGGGAGAATTATTTGGATGTGCAAACTACTTATTACTTATTATTATTTTGTTTTTTCTTTCAATCCCTCCTTGAGCTCTGTAGGATTTTATCCATTATTATTTATATTATCCATCCTCCTTATTAATTTCAGTTTTTTCCTATTTCCAATTATCTACAATAATTGTTTATTTATTTATAGTTGTTATAAGTAATTAACGTAATAACGTAATAAGTAATAACGTTATAATTGTTATTTACTTTAGTTTAGGGTCTTTTTACTTACTTATACTCCGTTTATATAGTTTATTGTTCTTAATATTTCTTCTTTTATCAAAACATTATGTATCTACCACATTGTTCTATAGCCTTTTCTATCTTTTTCTTTCTAGGCTTTAAATAAAATAGTTTGTTACTATTTTAGTGTTATGAAAGTCACTATCTTCATACTTAGTAAAACCGAGTGTGTTATATCTGCAAACAGGGAAGTAATATATTAACAGAAAGCTCTTATTTAACATTCTATTTTAGGTATCGTGAGCATGATTTTTTTATAACTTCCTACATTCATTTCCATTTTATTGCCTTTTTTTTAATGAATGAATCCAAGGCTCTGAAAAATTATTAAAAAGTATATTAATGTAAAAAAAAACCATGAATGTTAAATTAATTTTCTACTTATTAGTAAAATGTGTATTAATATTTGTTTCGTGCACTTACGTTTTAGTAAGCCATCTAACGTTGATGGTCATTGCCACTTCAGCTACATTAGAATCTGCAAGATAGTCTACAATTATGATGTTGGGATGTATATCGTTTGACACATATTTCAAGATACCTTTCAATTTTGTATTGGTCTTTTGTGCAAGTTCTCTGTGGTTTCTTCTTTTGGAACATACAGTTACTTTAGTAGGACTTTGAGATATTATAAAAGACATCAAGAAGTACCTATTGTGAGAAACTTTCTCCATTAACGATATCTGTTGGTCGATCATGATTAAAGGATCATGCGTATCTGATTCGCTTTGAAAGAGATGTAAATTTCTATGATAGAAGAACCCTTTTCCAGCAAGTTCTCCTAGATCAACTCCAGTGCCCTGGTCATAAAAGACATAGATGACCCCGGCTCTCGAGCCGTTGTTGGTTATTTCTCCCAAAGTAATGGTTTCTAGGTGTAATGTTGCTTTGGAGTGAAACAGGTTTTCAGTACTGTTGAGAAGATCGAACAGTTGATCCCAATCCTTTTGATTGAACTTCCTAGGCTCTGTGTCACCATCCATATTGAGACTGTGTGACAAGTTGATGATGATGAATTCATTATATTGGCTAGTAAAGTTATTGACGTCTTCTATGATTGATTCAATGGACTGTCCATTTGCTCCTTCCCATTTGTTTTTTTCTGTAAGCATGAAGTTTCCACTCGTAAATATTCCTTCGGATAAGACCGGCCTCAGATCTAAATACCTGATCCCATTTTCTAGCTGCTTTCCGACGGTCAGATCTTGGGTTAATACTTTACAGGGCTTGGCTTTTGGAGTTCCTCCAGTGATTTGATTCATTCCAGAATTGTGTGTTCCAGCCAAACAGAGCTGTTTTAGTGTCAATATTCCAAGCCATTCTATGTTTTTCGTCATCCAATCTTCAGTCTTCAGGGCACTCTTTCCTATATGCAGAACGCAAATCAAGTTTAAGCACAACAGAGCTGCCCGCATAGGAACCATCTTACACAGTTGAACCTCAAGCCAATCTGTGAAATAGTAAATTATTTCAAGAAATATATGTATGTTTTATTTATTTCTTTTATTGATAAATTTTCAGACCAGACTTATATTATATCCAAATTATTTACAGAATGAGAGGACTACAAATACCAGCAAGCTAATGGGCCACAAAAAAAAAAACGCTGCAAATTATTTCACAATGGTTTATTATCTCCAAACAATTATACATCTAGTAACATTACCTTCCGAGTTACAAAGAAAAAAAAAAACAAAAGGTGATTCCAATTATTGGACTAAACTGTATTTCTTTAATAATTAGTAATATGCTAAAAAAAAATACCATTAGTTCAGTAACACATTCAAAATTTAAAAACCAAACCAAGGATATAAAATTTGGAGTAGAACATATAAAAAAAAATACCGGAGACCATTTCTTTGCTCCTAATTGTCCGATTTTAACGATTTTTTTTTTAAAAGAAATTTCGTAAAATTTTAAAAAACTATGTACAATATCAACAAAAAAGTAAAAACTTTTCGAGTTATTCGGAATTTAATTTTACCATCCCTCGTAACTTTTTTCCAGCTTCTTTTCCTTGAAGTATGTTATATAGATAAATTTAAAGGGCGTCAAGAAAATGACTTTAGCAAAGTTTCATTAAAATCTGTACATTCGTTTAGGAGCTACAGTCTATAGCAACGCAGGTTTTTCGGCCGCCATTTTGAAAGTTAAAGGCGGAGAGTAATGTCGATGAAGACGTCTTTCTTCGTCTCATGTTGACTTTTGATCTAATAATTAGTAATTTAAGACCAGATTTTTGAAAAATGATTCTTTCTTTGAACGGTGATGCTTGTAATTTACTTTCGTAAAAAAATGAACAATTAACATAAAAGATAAAACAATAAACTATTATTTTCTTATATAATTAATTTAATGAAAATGATGTATTAGCCCTCTTTATAATTAATTGTTTTTTAAAATTTGTAAGCTCACTATCTGTTGTTTTGCACATAGTGTATTTATAATTAGCTGCGTTTAATTCAAGATGAAAAATTAACAACTATATTCCTCAGATGATTTCAACTTCATTTGGTTAAAGAAATATAGTCATAAATTTGTAAAGTTATGTTTAAAATTTAAAGTTATGTTTCCATCAGTATCCATCAGCTTTTTAGCTTTCTAAGTGTTCTTTTGCCTTCTATTGAGGCATTGCTACGTAGAGGCTTCCATCTGGATTGCTACGAGCTACATTCCCCGCCGATCTTAAACTCCGTGCCTTCATATCATGGAATATTGATTTACCAGTTTCTGTAAGCAGTTCTTTATTGGTATTTCTTCTCCACGTGTTAGTACTCTGATCCCAGATCGCTCCGGTTACCGTGCGGAGGATTTTTCTGTCAAATCTTTCTACACTTTTTTATATGGTGTTAGTTACCCTTCAGGTCTCACAGCCATATATTATAATTAGCTTTATCAGAGTATTATACACCCTTATTTTGAGAATCCTGGAGATTTTTCAGGATTTCAATACCCCTGGAAGGTTTATTTTTGCCCGTTGGTCATTCATTGTGGTTATTGTGGAACCGACATATTTGAATTTTTCTACTCTCGGAAATAATTTTTCCTTGTACGCAGATCATGTTATTGGGTGGACTTTTCAACTTATAATCATACATTTTGTTTTGTCCTCATTCACTTGTAAGCCGATCTTCTCTGCCTCTTTTTTTTTCTTCTTTTTTTGGCTTTAAGACTTGTAAAAGCAAGTCCTATTTTGCCCTTTGCCTCTCTTAATAGAGTCTTAGCGAGTTTCTCAATGTCCTCTTGATTGTTTCCAAGGGCAACTATATCATCTGGGTGTCCAAATATTTTATGGTTCATTTCGTGGTGGAATCCTCCATTTTTCTGTGAAGTTGTTCTTATTGCTTTCTTTATTACCATAAATATATTGAGTTTTGAGTTAAATATAAATAAAACATTACTTCCATCATAACCTATTCTCAAGCCTTTTCCATAAGTTTAATCACTGAAGGTGTTTTGGCTCTGAAGTCTGTAGAAAAATCAGTATTTTTTGGCCAGTTTAATATACAGCAGTTAAGGATCGAATAACAAAAAAAAAAAATCGCCCTTTTATGATATCTTCATATGTTTAACAGACGAAATGTCAAGAGTGCCCATTCTTCCCAAGGACGTTGCCACATTATTTCTTTCCCAAGAAAATTGATTCCTCACCTCTCTTGCAAATAAAAGACGAATTATAAAATTGTAGTTTGCTTTCCCATTTTCTAGGGTTTGAATGTTTTCACGAGAGCTTGGCAGGTGAATCGAAAATCGAATCAAAGAATCGATTCCTCTGAAAGAATCACACTCTAAAATAATTCACACGGAAGAATCACGATTCACTCGGAATCTTTCGATTCATTAATAAAGGTAAAAGAGATTTCCTACAACAAACCCGGTGAATCTACGTATTCAACCGAGATCGGCCGATTCACCAATTCACCGTTCAGTTGAATCGTTCTATTCACCAGCTTTGTTCTAGGAAATCGTTCACTCTTATTCTATTGTTTGTTGTGTTGCTTTGTTTACTTTCCGAATATATTCCGAATAAGAATATATATTCTTCCACGAGCATTTTGCACCTTGACATTTATAATCTACACTTTTTTACATTACTATTTTGTTTATTTTCTCTCTTTATTTATTTTATATACATACATACATATATACATATATATACATATGTGTGTTCAGTCGTTTCTCTCTCTTGTACTTTAATTTTGATTATCAATTATTATGTTAATATTTAATTTAATATATGTCCATGCTGTCATGTTTTATTTATTTATAATTAGTTTTAGATGGTTATCAGCCACAGAATAAAAAAAAATATTTACAATTTAAACATACAGAATCTAATATGTAAAATAAAAAAGAAATTGTTGTCCAATTTAAATTGTCTTCATATGTCTAACATTCACGACTTGATTGAACACGAGTTTATTTGAACCAGAACTTTTAATTTCAATCAGCTAAAAAAGCAAAAAAAAAATAAATAAATAAAAAAAACATTCTTCCCTGAATAACCATAAGGAATGCTTGTCACTGTTTTTTTTCAATAAAAAGTTTTCTTTAATTTAAAGAAAATAAGAAAATGAAAATAATCGAAGAATTGAACAACAAAAATAATCATTCATAAGAATCGATTCATCACAATGATTGAAACGATTCAGTTAAAAGAATCAAGTTTCCCATCTCTAGTTTCCGACAAAATGGCTCCCGGCAAAATTCAATTGCTCTTAAGTACATGTCCTCTCAAAAATTCATAACTTTGTTAATATATGCTCTCTAAAAAATTAACCCCATAAAAATTAGCCCCTCAAAAATTGTAATCGTTGCTCTTTGCAACCTCTTTCTTGGAAACATAATTGTGCAGTGCCCTTACCTAGTAGCGGAAAGAGAAATGTTTTGTTCATTGACTATGGTACATTCATTCTAAAACACTTCAGAGGTCTTTTTTTTCGGGTTTCATAACGCCGAGATAAATCTCTATCTGGCCCTAATTTTGAAACGATATTGTGGATGTTTGGTATGGTTTAGACATTGCTCGGTGATCACTGATTTTTGCGCTAAATCTAAAAAATACTGATTGAACACTGGTGTAAGAAATGGCGCATTAAGATAAACGAATCCAAATGTAAACACATAACCTTCACCCTTTGTCGTAAATCCTGCCCACCAGTTTATTTTAACACCATCCAGCTTCCTTTCTCAGATACAGTCTGGTACCTTGGCTTTCTCTTAGACCGACTACTAACGTGGAATCCTCATACTAGACTTAAAAGACAAGAACTAAACCGACGATACGGCCAGCTATACCGACTACTAAACAGAAAATCTAAACTTTCCATTGAAAACAAGTTACTGATCTACAAGACAATACTGAAACCTCTTTGGACTGACGGACTAGAACTGTGGGGAACAGCAAAATTTTCTAACATCAAGCGCATCCACTTCTTCCACTCAAAAGTCCTTCGAACAGTAGTCGATGCTCCTTTCTATGTAACCAACAAAACCCCACATCATGACCTCAAAATCCTATTTTTCCTAGACCTTATCCCAGAAAAATTCTCCAAAAACCAGAAAAATTTCACCAGAACCTTATGTATCATCCAAATCCTCTTGCACAATCCCTATCAAAAGCACCACTCATCCCTATAATCCTCCAAGGTTGAAACGGCACAGACCGCGACCTTTTGTAGATTGTATATATTGGAGTTCTGGTAATGGCCAGGTTCTCCACTGAAGACATGGGTGTATGTGGCTTAAGTGCTCTCAACATCCCCTGGCTTTAGTACCAGTGATGCAGTTGAGAGAGTAGCGCAGGGTTCTCCTGGAGTTCTCTCGCCTGATTGTATATAGGTATGCATGTGTTTTTTTTTTCTTAGTTTTAATTTTCTTATTTTTGGATTGTTTTATTTTATTTATTGTATATACATTTTGATTATTATTTATTGTTATTTTGCTTCTATTTATTTTATATTTTTTGTACATATAGTGTGAATGTTATCGTACGTCACTATAACTAATGTCCATGTGACAGATTGTTGTAATACTCAATAAATAAAAAATAAATCTCAAAAAATCGTTTGTTCCACTAGATTGACTAGGTCAGCCCATTGCGCATCGTGCGGTGGTGAAAAATATCATATATTCAGAAAAAAAAACTTTGTCCGCGTTGATCAAACGGTTTCAAGGCTGAAATAGGGATCACTATTTATGTATTTTCTAGTTCTGAATCCAATAAAACCAAATTTAAGTCGATAAGTAACGGATTCTCGATATATGACAATATTATGTTTTAAATTCTAAATAATTCTGGATAAAATGAAATGTTATTATTCAAGTCAAAAATTTGATAATGAACGATCAAAATTACTAATATTGAGATAAAAAATAACGTGATTAATGTTTAAATACATAGATTACTATTACAAAATACTGAATAAAATGCAAAAGAATAAATAAACTGTTATTTTTATAGTTCTTTCATTGGCAGATTCACACATTTGAAATATCCCTTTAACCCAATTAAGGTATTCGCAAAACCGGGTTTTCATTCTTGCCAGACTTTTAAATCTCTGTTTAAACTGAGAAAGACCCCCATACCAGACTGAAACGACTAGAAACCATATCCAACACTGTCATCACCACCTATGCCGATGACAAGTGTATCTTATCAGTTAATAACGATCCATCTATTGCATCCCGAACTCTTCAATCACACATCACAAGTCTTGAAAAATGGTGTAAAAACTGGAGGATTAAAATAAATTCCAATAAATCCCATCAAATTACCTTCACTCTTCGTCGTAAACCTATGACTTCCTGTCCTACAGTATCCTTCAACAATAGCCCTCTTATCCCTGTCGAACAAATCCGATACTTAGGACTCCACCTTGACAAACGACTCACTTGGAACCTTCATGCCAGACTGAAACGACAAGAAACCGCCCGACGTTTTCAACTATTGCGGCACTTATTAGACAAACGCTCTAAACTTCCAATTAATTACAAACGACTCGTATATATGACAATAATAAGACCTATTTGGACTTACAGAATTGAGTTTTGGGGCTGCACTAAACCATCGAATTCCTCTCGTATCCAATCCTTCCAATCCAAAATCCTTCGTAAAATCCTCAACGCTCCTTACTTTGTCACAAATAAAATCATCCATAAAGACCTTAATGTTCCATTTGTTTCCGATTTGGCCCAATCCAGATACATATCCTTCCATAACAAACTGCAGAACCATCCGAATCCTCTCTTTTAAACCTTGCTTCCTCCTCGATCCCTGATAATCCTCCGAGGCGTCTGAAAAGAAGATGGCCTCGGGACCTTTAATTTGAGTTCTACCAATGGGTAGTTTCTCTTCATGTTGTCCGTGTCATGTTACCAATGCCACATTTACTTGTTGTATTTTCCATGTAATACAGTTGTAAATTTCATTAAAATAAAAAAAAAAACTGAAAAAGAAACCGTTTTTTAATTCGTAAAACTACAAAATATATCTCTTCCTCACACTGTGAAGGACGTTTTTGCTTAAAAATTGCTGGATAGAAAATTCATGATTTACTAAAACCTCACACAACTCTTTGTAAGAATTTTCGTGATCTTACAAACTCGTGATCTTACCTACCAACACACCAAATTATAAATGTAATGACGAAATAGAACTTATTTTGTTTATGCTCATCTGATTTAACTATGAAACTGTCTTGGAAAAGTAAATAAAAGTCTTAATACTAAATGTACTTAATTATTATAGCAAAAATCAAATTTTAGTTCATAATGCTAATGATTTTTGAATGTGAAAACAAAAAAGAATTATTAGTACTCTTAGAAAAGCCGATTAGAGATATCATTCATGTAAAGTTACGTTTTGATACCTACTTTGATTTTGTCTCTTAACGGACATAACGCTTACGATTTTCACAACATTAAATTTACGCCAATTTTTTTTTCTGTACTCATTTATCCACAAAGATGAAATTTCATTGATAAAGTATATAATTGTCTTTTTTAATACTTGAAAATATTTATTTAAATTACCGTTAAAAATCGACTTTTTCGGAAAAAAAAACACTTAAGTCCGATTTATAAACCGAGAAATAATAATTTGTATACCAACTTAATTCTAATTAAATTTGTAATCTATTGTATCACAGAAAAAAAAGTTTTGGTTATGTAGTAATTCTTTAACAGAGAAAAATCAATTCTTATTATTTTATAGTTACTTGTTACAAAAAATATAAATTTTTTCCTGTTTCAAATTAAACATTCATGTTGATATTGAGTATGGTATTTTTTTTAATTATTTAAAGCCGTTATTCTCCTTTTTTGTTCTTTCTTTTTTCTGTTAAATTGCCTTTTTTGGGAACATTCCTGAAAAATGAACGAAATTTGTATTAATGTCAGGAAATTGTAGTTAATATGTTTGTTTTTTTCAGTTATTATTTCTTAAAATAATAATAAAGCATTGCGGATTCATAATCTAGATTATATATAAATACGAAAGTACAGACACCTTTTGCAGCTCTAAGGAACGATAGATTTTGATGAATGAGCAATCAACCAAAGGAAATTTTATGAAATAACAAACCCCATAAATTTTTATACGAGCATTAATAAAAGTCATTAAAAAATCAACAACAATGACATAATGTTGTGAATGATTTTACAAGAAATTTCATATCAATAAAATACTGCTCTAAGTTGCTGATGGTCAAGTAGCCGCAAATGGTGATCAAAATGCCTTTTCTGCATCCCACATGCACTCAATGGGACTGAGTTCTAGATGCAGTACGGAAAGGAAATGTTAGAATTAATTAATTGATGTTATTTGTTATTGTATATTCCACCTACAACACTGTTACTGGCAACACTGTCAGATGTGACGTCAGTGATCACAACAATGTATACTCCCTCGATATGGCTTCTATGTTTGTATTGTTCTTCCACAATAAACGTTTCTTTATTGTCTGTGTTTGTTTCATAAAGAAACCCTAACCATTATTAACAGGAAAGATGTGAAATGTACGGATTTACAAGACATCGATGAACAACATTTCCTATATGAGGTCGAGTGTTGTCGTCAAGTAAATAGAAATCTATGCCAATTATGACCCTAGTTTGAGTAATATAATCTTCTATAATTTTTTTAATATAAGAATCTGCAATGAAATTACCTTCCGAAATATGGAGTATAGTCCGTCATCCTGAGTAAATTGTACACCTAGACTGCATTGAAGGGAGCACAGACTAACAGTGTGACCACCATCTGTTCTCGGTTTACTCTTCGACACTTACAATCGCTATAAATACCTAGTTCTGCCATAAATACTGTTACAAAAGGTGAACTTTGTTTATATCCTTAGGAACTATTTAGATAAACCTTGCCTCTATCAGGTTATTTTCTTTACATGTTAGGATAATAATCCCAATCAGTTTACATTTTTCTTTCGCTCAGTAACCATGGAGTGGGGTGATAAAGGAAGCTGAATAGTTGTGATCGCCTTACACAATGTTGGTCAGAGATTTTCAACACTTTGAAATCTTTGGTTAACAGCCGTATGTTCGTATACCGCACTATATATAGATATAATGAGACCCTATCTGTATATATATATATATATATATATATATATATATATATATATATATATATATATATATATATATATATATATATATATATATATTAATTATATAACAAAATTAATAAAAAAAAATAGAGTGGATAGATGCGAAGTGCTCTTGGCCGTTACATCAATAGTCTTCATCGAATGATTTTTTTTAGGGATGAGAAATTTATTACGATTGAAGAAATCTTTAATCGCCAAAATGATCGGGTGTACACACAGTTCTAAAGCCATTGGAAGAGTGGAAAGAAGTCATCATCCTTCCTCAGTGACGGTTTGGTCGAAAGTTTTCTTTGATGCCACCACAAAGCTCCATTTTTGTTTAAAAGGAGTTAAAACAGCCACTAAAACTATCAGGACGATATTTTGGAACCTGTTGTCAAGGCTCTAAATGATTCCCTGTTTTCTGGAAGTCATTGAGTTTTCAAGCAGGATTCCGCTCCAGCTCACAGACCAGGCCAACTCAACATTGGCTGCAAAAGAACATACTTGATCTCAATCCACTAGATCATCGGCTTTGGTCCGAACTAGGGAGGATGGTATGCCACGGAGCACACCCTAACTTGGAAATCCTCAAACAATCCCTGGTCCAAGCAGTTGAGCGATTTCCTCAAGAAGTCCTATTGATGACTGAACAGGGAGATTAAATGCCTTTGTTGTAAAGGCAAAAGGGAGACATTTTGAATAGCTTCTTTTTTGTTTTACTCTGTATAGATATAGATTTTATTTTCTAATGAAGTTTTTGAATAAATTAATTTTTCTGTTGAAATCTGTATACATTTTCATACAACAATATTTATGACAAGTCTAGATACAGAAACAGGAATCGTCTGTAAAAACAACAGCATTTCAATCTGTATCTTGATCTCGCTCGCTGGACTATGATGGTGCTGACAACGCACTGTTGCTGCAGTTCGTCTGTAAGATGTTAGGCGAACTTTTTGTAAACGATTACGATTATTTCTGACATCCCTTGGTGACGTAATAAGCAGAGATCCTCTAACAGGTCTCCTATTGGTACTTCCGCTATTTCTGAACCAGTTGAAAGCTCGGGAGACTTCAATGTGGGAGACACCAACTGCTTTGCCGATATTCCCTTGCCATGTTTGAAAAGTCGAAAACAACTGTTGGTTTACAAAATAAGTATTCTTCATGTTGACTATGTTTTAGTTCACAACTGTAACTGATTTACCCATCGCTTACGGGTGTATAGTTAAAATTTGACAACCTTTTTTTTGGATGGATTTTGTATTATAGAGGGAGGAGGGTCCAAATTCAATTTCATAAAATTGGGTTTTAGTAATTTATTAATTATTTAATTAATCAAAACGAGTTGTAGTCTCTCTACTTCTTTAAACTCTGCTGAGCTTACATTGGACATTGAGTCCCCAGCATCCGTGTAAAATTAAAACTTGGTCTGAATATTGTGAAATTTTTTAAGTTTATTTCCTGTTTTATGTCTAATCCGTTAGGTTAATTCTAAAAATATATTTGTTAGACTTGGGAAGTTGAATCGAATGGCATCTTGAATGGGTAGATCAGAGAAAGTTGAAAAATGAGTATGTTTTACCCGTTTCATGTGACAATGCGTTACAGATGTTCGGTATTCCGGATTTTTCCCGTTGAGTTGTGATATTTTTTTCCATCAGTTGAGTCGTACAACTTTTAAATGTGGCTTGCGTTAGAGTAGGTTGGGATTAGAATCGAAGTAACTGTTTAACCGGGGTCTCTAAACAAATTACTCAAGAATTCATAAGTTTCGTTATATTCAATATTTTGTTTTCATTTAAAGCCCATATTTTAAGTCAAGAAAACATAAAGGTAGTGTCAAAATTTCAAAAGTCTGCCATTAGACATTGTCGAGCATACCCTTGGCAAAATTTCGTTGGACAATGCGGACATCCAGACAAATCATTTTTATTTCTAAAAGTGGATTTGATTGGAATACAAATTGGAATGCTGTTATGTTTAGAAACACGTCGCCTTTTTGTATTTATAGCGATCGCAGGCGCCGAAGAGTCCACCGAGAACAGAGAATAGATGGATGTGTATCCATAGTTTGTGCTTTCTTGACTGCTGTCTGGGCTATAGTCTATTCAGAAAGACTGACTCTTCTCCAATAAAATAGAAAATCCAGGAAAAATAAATGTTTCATAACTAAAATATCCTTATTCATTTTGGAGTAGTATATAAATTGAAGCGTTAATTTTGTCTTGGATTTTTTGCAAATGCCTATAAATATAGTCCTTATTAATAAATAGAGACCGGATTTCCATGTTTTAGCAACCTTTTTTTTTCTTTAACGAGTAAAAACTCCAAAATCGATTTTCTATGCGTTTCACGATATTTAGGACAACATATTTTTGTTTGATTTTTGCACGAAATTGCTAGTTTCGGACTAAATTTCTGAATATTGCATATTTTAATCTTTAAGGGATACATTTCGATTTTAATAACATAAAATTAAATATTTTAACTAAAGTTCTTTTATCAAATTTACTCAAGTTAGTATATAAATACTTATTTAATTTTATTATTTATATATGAAATGAAAAATAATTTGATCCTGTTACTGAAGTCACCTTAGAATAATAGTAGAGTTAAAAAAATATGTACTGGCATGTAGATATCATACAAATATATGCAAAAAATACTTAGGAAATTGTATATATATATATATATATATATATATATATATATATATATATATATATATATATATATATATATATATATATATGTATGTATAAAGATACTAAGGAATATGTTATATGTTACATTTATTTTTAATAATTGAAACCTCTTACTCATGTTCCGCATGCCACTGTTTTATGTTGAATTTCGGCCCTTCTTTACGGCCAGATATTAGGTTTTAATTTTTGTGCTTTTAATTTAGTTATTCAATATGACAATTTCAAACTATCATTCTGGGATCATAGGGTATTTTATACTTGACATGTTTGAATAAATAATGGATTTCCTCGGGACAACGTTTTAATTTTATTATACTGTTAATTTAATATAGGCAGGAGTGCCTAGAAGCAGATTTCATTTTGAGGGGTTTTCGAATTTTGAGGGGGAGGCATATGTTTGGATACACTGTTTTCAAGAAGAGAAGAGAAATAAAATATCTTGGGGGAAGGGTTCAGGTTCAGGTGCCATCGACGTTGTGGGTGATGGAAACCCCTGAATGTAGGTGAATACAGTCAAAGCTCCTTACACTCACAGTTCCGTTATTTATGAATCCTGACCTTATTATATGTATTCAATTTTTAAAATATTATGTATTTATATGTTTAAAAATAAACAAGTATGAAAATATTTGTAAACCAGCAATCTTATAGTCACTTGGCAGAAAATGATTACTCCAGACACTATGGATTTTAATAAAAGCTCAGGAACTTTGACATTACTCAAAATATTAGTTTAATTTTTTTAATATATGATTAACTTTGTGTGTTCTTCTTCTTTCATTTAGATTTAGGTTAATCATTGTTGAATAAGTTTTTTTTTCTCACGTCATACGGAATTTGGTTTTTACTGAACGATTTTGCACTTTTGGAGTTTTATATTATTAGAAAATCCGATCTCGAGTAAGAAGAAAAAGAATATGTTCAAGTTCATACCTGTCGAGAAGCCAATGGCTGTTGATGGCCATTGCTATTTCACGGACCTGAGAATTTTCGACGTAGTTTGCAGTTATGACGTTGGGATAAATTTCGGATGTCACTTCGTGCATAATATCTTTCATATGCGGATTAGTTTTCTTGGCGAGGGATTTGATACTCCTTAGCTTCGGGCATTCGGCAACTTGCCTTGGTTGCTGTGTCACTATCCAGGAGAAGACGAAGAACGAGTCTTTTGCATTCTTGTACATTTTCAGCGCTTGATCTACGAACATGAAATTCATTTTGTCCGTATTTATGACATTGTCGTAAAGGTGCATACTTTTATTGGTGAATAACCCTTTTCCAGCATAACTTCCTAACGTTATATTCGCTGCACTCACAATGTATAAAACGGCAGATTTGTTCCCTTTGTTAGTCAGGTCTCCCAAAGTGACGTTTAGCAAAGTATTTTCTGGGCCTTCGTAAAGATTCGTCGTCTTGCTAACTATATCAAAAAGCTTATCCCATTCTCCTTGATCGAAAGGCTTGTTTGACGAAACGCTGTGTGACTTAGATAAGCTCGCGATAATTAACTCATTATGGTCTTTGGTAAAATCATTGATTTGCTTCACGATCGATTCAAAGGTCTGCCCGTCTCCTCCGATCCATTGGCCCTCAGGATCCTGTTGGTAATGCCCGGCCTTGTAATCCGATCCCGATACAACAGGCCGCAAGTCGAGATATCTGATCCCTGTCTTTAGCTGCTTGAGGATGTTCTTGCTCTGGCAAAGGGTGTTACAGTTCTTTTGTTTGGCAGTTCCTCCAGTTTTCGCGCTCATCCCGGCCTCGTTGGCGCCTGGCAAACAGATCTGCTTTAGCTTCAGTTTGCCTAGCCACCCCATGCCGGTTTTCATCCAGTTTTCCCAATCATGTTGGACAGCATTTGGATTTGGCTCTACTTTTTCTGCTTTCTCAGTATTACTTCTGAGAAGTAGGACATGGATTGTGCCTAGCCACAGCAATGAAGCCCATGTCGTAACCATCTTCCAGGACAGTATCAGAATCCGAATCTGTGAAATAGTAAAGTATTTGAAGGACTATGACTATGATTATTATTTTTAAATAAATAGATTTGCAACTCATTATCAGATATATTATCGTAGAACCATGATCTCTCCCCTTCCCTTGTGACGAAAAATAAAATACAAAAAAAAAAATTAGTTCTTAAAATAATTTTTAGTTTTTATTAATAATAATAAGTTTTTTTTTTATTAACTCGAAGAGGGTTAAATATAAAATTAAGTATTTAGTATTAATTTTAATAATAAGTAATTGTTTATAATAAGTCTTAGTTTTAAGTATTCATTTATTTCGGATTGGAATAACCAACAGCTGATTGGGAGGAAAAACAAAAGAGAGTTTAGAGAGAGATGGCGGAACCTCGCGAGTGTAGAGGCGCGCTAAGAATTTGGTTGTGTGAAATACTTTAGTTTTACGGTGTACACCGGATTTTCTTTTCCTATCCATGGACCTGTGATTATCAGCGACGATTGCCGCTTGATTTTAAAAGTTGGTGAAAGAACATTTTCACAGTTTAAAGAAGTGGACTGGGGAGACATTGACGACGCTAGCTGGGATAAGTTCCCGCTTCCTCAGATAACTCAATGTGCCAGTTGGACAAAGTTCGGCGTTGAGATTTTGTAAATATTTACATATAAGTTTTTTTTCTATCTATTTTTATTTCCAAATGTTTGTAATTGGTTTATTGTATAGTCGTAAGTTAATGCTTAGTTCTATAATAATTTTATAATCTTTTCTTTGATAATTAAAGTTAATTGTATTTTCTTTGTTTTCTTATGAATCTAATTTCTTGTTCATAATTTTTATTTCCTTTAACAGTTATATAAATCAATAGAAATAAGTAAATTCATCATTAGTATTAATAATAACCAGTTATATTTTCTTCAGTTTGTTTTCACGTTTTATGTATATATTATATATATTTTTTTTTTTTTTAGGTTTAAGAAGGAATTGTAAAACCCTATTCGAGGGATTAGGGAAAGTCATTATTAACCAAGAGTAAGAAGGTTCGATAGGTTATGAAGTTAATTAACATAGATAGATATTTTATTTGTTTTAAGGGGGTTCCCCATACAAATAGAGCCTAGCTTGGCTATTGTACAATAAGATGGTTTTACAAACTTACATACAAGTTAATTAACATATGTTTTTAAATCCATAGGTTCCGGGTTCATTTTTATAGTTTTCTCTATTTTCCAAATTCATCAAATTAAATAGCGTGGCGCCTGTTAGATGAAATTTTTAGCCCCTAATATTAATGAAGGCTAGGAATAAATAAAAGCTTTCATTATAGTTACTACATTACTACATTCTCTTAAGCATATTTGTAGGCAAAATTAGTTTATGTTTTTAGACGTTTAGAATAGAATAGAATAGAATAGAAAATTAAACTTTATTCTGGGACTAAGACCCTTTAGAATAACAATGATGAGTTAATGCAAAGTAAAGTACAAATCTGGCCAAAAACTAACTTCTAAAAATTTTAATATTATATACATTATTTAAAAAGTATTTAACCAGTAAAACATAAAAAATAAAATATATATACAAATGAACATAAAATCTTCTCAAAATTACTTAATTGTGATGAAAAAAAAAAAGAAGAGAAATTACATATTTATATATACATAACTACACAATTTATAAACAATAGGCTATTTAATAGAAAACTAACTTAATACAAAATGAAATAATATCTACAGTGGTTTATATAATAATATGCAGACACTAAGATAAAATAAAGTCTTACGATACTTGTGGTGTAACGAAAAAAAAAAAAAACTAAAAGGAACTATTTATACGTACATTCTCATATTGGCACACATAAAGACAAAGATATAAAATATGAACATATATACCCGAAAAAAAAGGCACAACCTGAGGAGAAGAGAAAAATAAATAAATAGTAAAAATAATAGTCTAACTAGGTGACAAAGATCATTGCTGTTTTATGTTAAAACTTAAACAGTAGGCACCACTATTTATTTCACGCAAATTCAGTTCATAAAATGAAATTTATAGTGGTAATTCTTCTGTTTGGGATGTAAGGAGATATTGGAAAAGGAGGTATTTGAAAGTTGACAGGGAAGAGGCATGACGGATGTTATGTGGCAAAGAATTCCAATAGGAGACGGAGCGGTCTAAGAAGGAACGTTCATAGATTTTTGTCCTGTGGAATGGAATATAGAGGTCAGAAACACGGGATCTCGTTTTTATTGAGTGGACTAAGGATTTAGGCTGGAGGAGACAACAGATATAGGAAGGGTGCTGGGAGTTGATCGTTTGGTATAAGAAATTCCCAAGGAAGTATAGGCGGCGGTAAGATGGGAAGAGCCACTTTGACTCGGCATATAGGTGGGACACCTGAGACCATCTCGAAGTGCCGAAGACGAATCTTAAATAACAGTTCATATATCTATATTAGTGTCTTGCAGATCGAAAATAATTTGTATGATTGAACAAATTCGCACAAATCAATTTAAGCCCTTAAATAATATTATTGAAGGGGAGAATGGTTGGGGAGATCAGTAAAAAAAAAAAAAAACGAAGAATATTGTTCTCTTCAGTTATTCACTGCAGTCAAACATTAATCCACAATTATAAACACTATTATGTTCTGTAAAAATTGAAAAAGGCAAACAGTTTAAAACATTTTTGAACTACCGTTAAAAGACTTATAATGACCGAGCAGTCAAACTAAGAACAACACTTGATAAAGAAATATGGCAAAACACTTATAACAAATTTGTTTGAAAAAGGAAAAATTCCTAAGCTCAGCGCTGAGCTCATCGATAATACCGGATCCATCTTTAAGCTGGGTGAAAGGATGTCATCAATAAGCTCATCGTTGAGAATTTAGAAACTTGTCCAAAACCACAACCGCCAGATTAATACAAGAAAGTTAAAATTTTATTAAAATAAAAATATTTCTATGCATAAAAAATAATTTTCAGTTTTAATTAGTTAAAAAGTAATTTTTAAGATTAAGCATTCGGTTAATATTAAAAATAAATTAAAAGGTTATCAATTTCAAGCTCGAACAATGCCAAACTTTATACAAAAAACGTTTCATTCATTTCCAGATTTGTCATTAAAGAAATTGAATCCGTTTTAAAACGAAGAAGACCGTTATCAAACCAATAGGTCTTACAGCATGAATCGTTGCGTTGTTCAATGAACTATTTTTTTTTTCAACAGATCTTAAGAACTGTTATTTTTTGTCAACGAACAGTTCATTTTCAAAAGTAGCAGAAACGTCCACCTCTAGTAACATGGAGTCGAAAACAGAATGCAGTTTAAATTAAACTTTTGAATAGAATCTAACAACTTATAAGGTCATACAACTATAAAACGAATTTATTCTCCTTTTCTCGACAGTTATTGATATTTTTAAAATTTATTTATTGTAACATAATAAATAATAATATAACATTCTGTCAATTTGACAATAGTTATAGGGAGGTAAGATCACATTCACACTACATGTACAAACATAAAATAAACAGAAGGAAACATGTTTATAGCAACTAAATAATAGTCAAAAAGAATATACAACAAATAAAGTAGCGAATGATATTAATTTTAATTATTTAATGAAGCTTAATAAAATTGACACTAGGCACTTTCTTGTATTGTAAACGTTTAAAAATAATACGTTTGGCAGATTCTAATTCGGAAGTATTTTTTGTAACGGATCAAATTTGATGAAATCGATACTACTTGATTACTTGTTTATCGATTTCTAACTTCCCTCCAATTCGGGCCAAATCGAAATTTGTTTTTTGAGATATAGGCATTTCAAGGAAAACTCATTTCCATGTATGTGAGGATAGTGGGTAGAATTTAATAAAATTGATACAGCACATTTTTTTTTTTTAAATAAAAATTCTCGTCGAAATCGAACCATCCGTTTCCGAAATATAGGCCTATCTAAGAAAATATATTTACACGTGAGTAAGCGAAAGTATTACATGGAATTTGATACGAGACAATCTAATATGGAACGGTCATTAGCACAGTAACCATGTAAATCGTAAGCTGCTTTTTTTTTCTGTTCTTTCCTATCTCTCCTTTTAGGCTATACGAGATTTTCCGGGTCGGAGGGTGAGAGCGGGGAATTTAAAATCCCCTCTGGCACCGGGACCCGAACTCGTACTTTTTTTTTTATTTCATATTCAGGTTCATCTGGTTGCCGGGCAACTCGCGGTTCTGTGTACAAGCTTTAGTCCAGTCGGCCACCGTAAGAAAAATATTCAAAAATGTATGATTTACAAATGGAATATACACTCGCGTGTTTTCAGAAGTTGCATCTACTGAGTGTTGAAGTTTTCTTTTTGTTTTCTTGTATGGGATATGACTGAAATGCAAAGTTTTCGACCTCGGCGCTCCCTCTTCCCCTCTCCTCCCTGATCACCTTTGAATATACCAAAAACTGGTATATTTTCGCACTTTTTTTCCGGTTTATCTTCATTCTATCCATGGATCACCACGTTTTCGACAACAATCACACTAAAAATTTTTAAACTACATTAAATATGCTACAATTTAAGACCAGAACAGCCTCGGAAAATCAAATAGTTTCAAATTTTGGAAAAACTTTATTTTCCATTTAAATTATTTTTCATTTTTGATCATATGCAATTATTTTTCATCTTCAATAACCTATCTGATATGAATAGCGAGGGGGAATCCTCCCATGAATCTTCCTTCCACTTCACTATAAATTTCATATCGTTTTGTTCCTTGAAAATATGTAATAAAAAAAGGCAATGTTTCTACGTAAGAAAGTGGCCACACTGTCCCAAAATGGCGTCCAATCATGGCGGATTGAAGACTTTGACTTGAGTTAGTTTTTCGGTTACTGAGATTTATCGGTTGGCTATATTTCGTTATAATTGATCTTTTATTAAAGGTGGATAGTTAAAAAATAACAAATCATCAAATAATTAAAAAAAATAATTGATTTGGCAATAAAAAAATACCAATAATGTCAATTTTTTTAATTCGTTTTAACTAAAGTTGAAAATCAAGCATCATTAGTAATTAAACGGCTAACAATAATGAAAGACGCCTTGAAATAAAACATCTAGAAAATAAATTTATCTTTCTAAATCACTGATTAATTTTCAACATATTTGAAACTGTTCTTTAGAAAATTTACTGAATCAGTGAAAAAACTTCGCTGGCGTAACCGCTTAGCGTTCTCTGCCACCTAATTCGGTTCTCATAAATGGCACAGCTATATTGCTTCTCTCGTCATCTGTCTATTATATATTTCTTCCACCTAATGATGTTTCCATCAGTTCCTTGTTATATTTTCGATCTTCTCCACAGTTATCACTGAATTTCTTTTTTCTAGCGATTTTTCTTTCTTCGGTTTTTTATATATTTATATTGTTTGCTATGATTTGTCTCCATATCTAATACTGCTCTCTGAAATTAAATTTCTGAGTTGAGGAGAGTTGTGGAAGATGAGGTAAGCTCTTTTTTTTTTTTTTGTTACCCGCTAGTTTACTAGGAAGAAGATAAACCGCAATAAATAGCCATTCTAGCTCACTTATTTTATCAATTAGCTAATAATATTAGATTCACTTAAATAAACATAGGATTTCCATTTCTTATTATTTTTAGCCACTCCTATATACATGTAACCTACTTCTTCAAAATAATAACTTAAATAAATGTTTACTTCACTAACTCTTATATGGCAGGTTATTGAAGACATAAACATGAAAATTAGCTAACCATTTTCATGTTTCGAAATTTGCATTTGCTTCATTTAAAATTTTTGTATGCATTTGATGTAAATTTTTGTTTAACAAATTTTTTATTTCAATTTCAGTCTTCTGGTTGTGGAAAGTGATCTTCTCCCTCCCTGTCATTCAAAGTGTTTAAAGGAATAAAAATTTATTTTTCTGAACCATGTTAGACAGGTTATTGAAGATATAAAGACAATTGCATATGATCAAACATGAAAAATAGCTAAGTTCGAAATCTTTCCAAAACTTTGAAAACGTGTATCTCAGAAATTATTAAAATTATCGAACCTGTTTTGTTCATAAATTGTATCATATTTAATATAGCTTAAAAATATGTAGAATGTGTTTGGTCAAAAACGTGCTCATTCCTCTTCAGAATGGGAGAAAACCGAAAAAAGTCCGAATTTTTGTAGTTTGATATAAATTACGTTTAGTCCGAGCAAAATTAACTAGAGTAATTTATAGACAATTATAATTTTATATTTTACTTTGTGAATATAGAACAAACAAAGAATTATATTTCATATTATTAATCTTGCTTTGTTGATGTTTTCATTTCTATGGTTGGTATAAAGCACTTTTTTTTTTTTTCCTGCTGTGACTTTTATAAAACTTAGTTATTTTTATTAAGGGATACTAATACATGGAAAATATTAAAAAATAATTTGTAAAACAATAATAATTTTATTTATGAATAAAACAACATCATTTTTGTCACAATTATAGTCCTTTCTTTATTCAAACTTCTTCTTTATTCTAATACAATAATTTTAATGTAGCGACCTGAAAAATGAATAAAAAGTTTATTACTGAGTAGAATTTCTTACAAACCACCTGTTACTTTGTCTCTCACAGGTTATTAAATTACTAGTGATTTATTGAGCTATAAAGCAGACCCTACACGGTAATTCATGAATGAACGTCACAAGAAGTACCAAGATTGCCCGCTATCGCTTTGATCATGAAGACCCTTACACGTTCAATCATTACTGATCATTACTTATGTGAAGTTTCCACTTTTTTTTCTCTCCAATTTATTGCCTACTTGACTATTTAAAGAAAAAATAGTTGAAAATGGTTAATAATAATATATACTAGGGATATAAACAACTATTTACTTTTATGAAATTATTTACTTAATAACGAGACCTAGGTAAACTAACCTATCTAGTAGTAAGGTTAGTCTCATAGACAATCGTTTTGACAAAAGTTAGTAAAATATAAGTCTACTACTTAAAAAAATTAAGGAAAGGTATTGCGAAAATAATAAATTTGTTGAGGAAAATGGGAAAAGAACTGATAAATATACACAACGTTAAAGTTTTTTTTTTTTCCTAAAGTAAATTGTGAAGTTTCCTCATTTTTTTTTTTTAATTTGTTGCCCACTTGACTATTCAAAAGAAATAGTTGAAGATGGTTTAAAATTATAAACAAGGGATATGAAAAATTTATTTAAATATTTACATATAATGAAAATCAGAAATTTATAATGGTTGTGAGGCCTAGGTAACCTAACCTATCCAGCAGTATGGTTAGTCTCCCCACTACTTATAAGGGGACCCTACACGGTCAATCGGAATTGCACTAATGACGTTCCGAATTGTCGTGTAAGGTAGTGAATGAAATACTGATGGTGCTGCGCTGCGGATTTCCCAACATCCGGAAATCAAAGGTTCATTCACGAGAAGTGATAGGTTAGGTTACCTAGGCCTCACAACCATTATAAATTTCTGATTTTCATTATATGTAAATAGTTAAATAATTTTTCATATCCCTTGTTTATAATTTTAAACCATCTTCAACTATTTCTTTTAAATAGTCAAGTGGGCAACAAATTAAAAAAAAAAAAATGAGGAAACTTCACAATTTACTTTAGGAAAAAAAAAACTTTAACATTGTGTATATTTATCAGTTCTTTTCCCATTTTCCTCAATAAATTTATTATTTTCGCAATACCTTTCCTTAATTTTTGTAAGTAGTAGACTTATATTTTACTAACTTTTGTCAAAACGATTTTCTATGAGACTAACCTTACTACTAGATAGGTTAGTTTACCTAAGTCTCGTTATTAACTTAATAATTTCATAAAAGTAAATAGTTGTTTATATCCCTATTCTATGTTATTATTAACCATTTTCAACTATTTTTTCTTTAAAAAGTCAAGTAGACAATAAATTGGAGAGAAAAAAAAGTGGAAACTTCACATAAGTAATGATTGAACGTGTATGGGTCTTCATGATCAAAGCGATAGCGGGCAATCTTGGGACTTCTTGTGACGTTCATTCATGAATTACCGTGTAGGGTCCCCTTTACCTCAGCCCCCCTCCACTTCTCGTGAATGAACTTTGATTTCCGAATGTTCGGAAATCCGCAGTGCACCACCATCAGTACTTCATTCACTACCCTACACGACAATTCGGAACGTCATTAGTGCAATTCCGATTGACCGTGTAGGGTCCCCTTAATGTTTAAAAACATTGATATTGAACAATTAACAATTCGTTCATCAGCTGTTACTTTGTCACTCACCGGTTATTAAATTACTAGTGATTTACTGAGCTATAATGTTTAAAAACATTGATATTGAACAATTAGCAATTCGTTCATCAGCTGAACACAACACAGTGAGTAGTCGCTTATTTATCAAGTTTATTGAACAGTGTTAACAACAATATATTTAGGTGGAGAGGTTAACTATTATATTTTTATCTATAAGCAGTCTCCCCTCCTCATTCAGTAGCCGGACGGCTGCCGGAGGAGTCTGTGCTCAACACTCCACCGGTCTACGTAATTATTTACACACCAAACTATTTTACTATGATAACGTCTAGCAAAAGTAAAAGAACGAGAAGCTTAGGCAATGACATCTCACAATGCTGTAATACAAAGGCCAAGGCGTTCCAATAGGAAATCATCATCAACAACCAACAGACCGACTGAATATTGATCTAAGACCTGGTTCTTCCGGCCAATCCATATTATATCATCAGAAGATACAATGCAAGCAATGACCCAACCCAAGAGAGCCAAAATCACCTCCAACATTTGTCAGAAATATTAAAAATTTTCTGCATATTCTGCCAGCATCTCAATAAAATAATTGACAATAGTAAATATGTATGTTATAATAGAACCCATGACACTAAACTAATGCCGGATTCTTCGGGAACATATAGAAAAACGCTGCAAATTATTCCACAATGGTTTATAATTTCCAGACAACTATACATCTAAAGTAACATCACCTTCATAGTTACAAAGAAAAATAAATAAAATGTGATTCCAATTATTGGACTAAACTTTTTTTTTTTGAATCATTGTTGATATGCTAAAAAAAATAACATTACTTCAGTAACACATTAAAAATTTAAAAACCAAACAAAGGATATAACATTATGACTACTCACATATTAACAAAAAACAGGAGACCATATCTTTGCTCCTAATAGTCCGATTTCAACGGCTTTTTTTTTTTGGTTTTTAGGAAATTTCGTAAACTTTTAAAAAACCATATACAATATCGACAAAAATCCATCCCTCGTAAATTTTTTTTCAGCTTGTTTTCGTTGAAGTATGTTATATAGATAAATTTAAAGAGCGTAGTAAAATTGACTTTAGCGAAGTTTCATTGAAATCGGTACATTCGTTTAGGTGCTACAGTCTATAGCAACGCAGGTTTTGCGACCGCCATTTCGAAAGTAAAAGGCTGATAGTAATGTCGTTGAAGGAGGATCATCGTCGGGTGACCTCTGATTTTATATCCAAATTAGAAAAAAAAAAATCAGTCCAGTGGTTTCGGAGAAAATGCGCGGACGGACAAAAACTTTTTTATTCTTTTTTCGAATTCTACGTATTCTGAAACCTCAAATTTTGTGAGGGAGTTAAGTTTTGAATTTTTTTGTCTATCAAAATGGTTGATTATTTTATTTATTATTTTGTTTATTACATAGACATGACTTTAAATTATTTAAAGTCATGACTATGTATGAGTCATTAGCCGATTGTGGGCTGATGGTACGCAAAAATAAATCTTATTCCAAAACTCACAGTTTCAAATATAAATAGTATGATAACGAATGCCTAGAACTCTGAGGAAAAAATACAGAATAATATTTAAAAAAAAAGTGTTTTCAATATTCACTAGAAGACTATCTTGTAACAAAATTTAACTAAAAAGAACTTATTAAGGATAAAAAATCAAGCTACCGTAATATGATCAGAAATAAATTGTAAAATGATAAAAATGGTACTGAATTTTGGAAAGGCGTAAATTCTCTTAAGGCAGTAAACATCCCATGCAATGAAATAAATATTGATAGGTGGGTAGGACATTATAAAGATCTATTTGGAGAAAAACTGATCTTAGAAACACATTTATTTTCTGCAACCCATCCATTTTTAGACAAGCCATTTTCATTAGAGGAACTTCGAACAATAATACAAACAAGTAAAAACAAGAAATATCCGGGTCCCGACAACATCATATATGAGGTTTTCAAAAATTTAACTCCCGAATGGGAACATTATCTATTAAACCTTTTCAACAATATTATGAAAACTGAGAAATTACCGAACGCGTGGTCAAAATCTAATTTAATTTTAATTCATAAAAAATGAGACAAAACAGATATAGACAATTACCGTGGTATCTCATTGATAAATAATATAACAAAATTATTTACAGCGATTTCAGCTCAAAGGATTCAAATTTGGACTGAAAATGAAAAGACAGATTTTCATAAGTGATAAAGGCCGGGACTCTTTCATTTCAAATTAAAACTATGGCTTTAAAGAGTTTTGACTTAAAACTTTATATTGATTTTTTATTGTGATCTACTACTTTTTGTTCGATTACTTTTAAGCCATTAGTAAAGGAACTATTAAATTCTATTGTTTAATTTTTGTTTTCATAAAATGGACATGGCGTACTTGGATGCAAAATGAATTATTTAGCAAAATATATACCACTATTATTATAGTATCCACTTGCATAATTCCAGAGGAACAAGCTGGATTTCGGAAAGAAAGAGGCTGTGTTGAACAAATATTCACACTGATGTCAATCATCAATACAAATCTGCAAGTTAAAGGGAACTACGTCTATGCAACTTTTTTAGATTTCAGAAAAGCGTTTGACTCCATCAACCATCAGCTCCTTAGGAAAAAGCTTTTTGATTTTGGTATCAGTGTTAAGATTGTCAGATTGCTTAAAGTTTTGTATGACATGGCTACGATGCAAATAAAAATTGGCGACGAAGTGTCGGAACAAATAAAAATTAGCTCAGAACTATTACAGGGCGAAACTCTGAGCCCAATCCTTTTCATTATATTTGTCTCGGACATAATAACTTATTTCGTAAAGAATGGTGCACCAGGTTTAGCCATTGATAGTACAAGTGAGATTATAATGCTATTACTGGCAGATGATATTGTGATGTTAAGCAATTCCTGGTATAGCACCCACAAAAAGCTGCAGATTCTGGAAAGGTATTGTGCCTGAAAGTCACTAGTCCTAAATCCTCAAAAATCAAAACTCCTGATATATCACAAATCACCACGTATGAAAAAACTTAAAGTCTCTATATTGGCAATACAAACCTCTGGAATTTACGAAAATCTATAACTATCTAGGAGTGCCATTTTCAACATCGTCAAAATTTTCCAAGGCTGCTGAACACTTTGTTCAAAAGGCAAATGTTGCAGGAGCGAAGATACGAGAGATCTTAATAAGAGGTAAGAGCGACTCGTGGGAAACCAAAATGACCCTTTTTGATTCAATGGTT